GATCTATGGTAGATGGACAGTTGCAGCTTGGCAATATGTACTATAGTAAGATCTTTTATAATCTTAAATCTTCTCGAAAGTGATATATTCTATTTATTTAACACATTACGGGTTTAATTTTTGAACCAAATATTATTTAAATATTGATGTATAAATATATATCGATGTTTAATAAGTACTTAAAATATTTATTCAATATTTAAAATTTATATTAAGATTTGCATAGAAAATTATATATAAATATTGATCATGGTGAAAAGGAATATTTTCATGCCATATTTCTTATGCAAATTTAACCAAAAGAGGTGTTGTTTTCAGTGTTACTGACAAGCAGTTAAATTATCCTTTGAAAAATTAAAAAACCCAGGTATCTTAAAAATAATCCAACAATTTGTAAAATAGATTAAAGAAAAGCTGAAGAAGGTAGAAATGTATAATTTGCTGCCTTCTGCTTATTCTTACCAAGTTTTAAAACTATTAACTAAATTCATTAACAAGTGTCCCTACTAGCAGAGAAAAACTAAAAAATGTTTTCTAAGTAACTCTTATTTCCAGAATTGATGAAACAAAATTGATTTCATTTAAAATAGTCTGATATGCCAAAGAGAAAAAGAAAGAATTATGTCAGCAGCACTATTTGTTGATAAACTTTCATTGTTGATGTACTAATTGAAAATGTAGGCCAAATACTAATTAGAATGTAACAAATCCATATATTTCTATCACCAGCCTTCTTTTTTTATTTTTGAAAAATTAATTTTTCAAATTGTTATTCATTTAATATAAAATTTAAGGAGGAAAAAAGCTAGTAGTCTTTTTTTTCCCTTAACTTTTTCAATGAAATGGTGTAATAATTCATCTTAATTATTTTTAAATATCTCAGCCATATTCCTTTCATTCAATAATATGATGATATTTGAAACTGCCTGCAAATATTAAAAACTTGGTGTAGTTTACATATTAAAATTACATTTAAAGAAGAAAGTATTCTATTAATAAAAGTAAGGAATGGATATATATATATATATAATTATTTATCATTATGTTCTATGTAGTAACCATTCTTAAGTACTGCATGAAAAAGTTCTGAATGTATGAAACATAGCTGCCAACTCTACTGGATTTTCCAGTAGACTACTGGATTTTGCCAGTTTCTCCTGGTCTACTGGTTTAATAAAAATTCTCCTGGTTTTTATACATTTTAGGAAATTCCCTAACATTGAGTAGTTTCTTTAAAAGAATTCCTATTGAGATTATTGCTTGCTTGAATATTTAATTAAGTGTCACTAATACATAATAAAACGAGCCTCATTTACAAAATTCAGTTAACTATCTTTGAATTATATTCCTATTACTATTCAAAATTATGAATAAATATAATGCATAACATTTCAAGATCATCTAATGTGAAATCATAACTGGAAAATATTGCAGTTTTTCTATTTTGATGACTATAAAAATCGCTAAATTTCTCTTTGTGTAAAATATTTAGTACATTATGCAACTATTATCATGAAATTTATATTATTTCGTAAAGTGTAGTAAATTTCTTTCTATCAGTGTTGGTAAATATGTATAAAATAATAATTTTACAAAAATTGTTTCAGTTATTAAAAGATATTTTGATTTATCCATAAACTTTTTGTCTGAATAAGTTTATTATTTTATCTCATTTCTTTCTTTATTTTTTATTTAAACTAAACCTGCGTACTTTAAATTGCTATTTTGAAATATGGATTCTTCAAAGCTTTAATTAAGAAATTTATAGGAAGTTTTTTCACAGTATTTCCTTTATTTATTCATACATATGTATATTTTTTAAAAAAATGTGAGGAATTTTATATATTTTTTAAGATAATTTTATGTTTGTGTTAAGTGTAGTAAAAGTATTGTGACACACTTCTACTGAGGTAAGGCACATCATAAATTTGACCTATGTGCAGAAATGTCATTATACTTCACTAGGTGGTACTCTGTATCCCACTACTGTGTACCTAGCAACACTGTGTCACTTCTGATAGGTAATATCATTAAACGTTGATTTCTTTGTATTGTGAGCTCTCAATTATCATGCATCACAAGCTTGTGGTGCCAACAAAATATATCACAGCAATACACATTTGCCTCATTGTTACAATCAAAGAAGTTGTTGTGTTTGAAGATGATTGGCAACCAAATGTTCAATTAAAGTCCTGCTTACATATCCTCTTTTGTAGCAAAATTCGAATATCTATTGCAACATTATAAATTGTATTCATCTAGTTTGTCACTGTGATGTCCTATTAAAGTTTTAAATGAGTCCCTTTCAAATATTTTTCCTCACCTACTGCTTCCTCATGGGTTGCTGTTTAAAATTTTCTATCTTTTCTTATAACATTTTTAGAACACCATTTATGATTAGCAT